AATATAATGAAGAAAGATATCTCAGCCAATTTGTATCAGAAATGTTTGATTCTTTGCAGGAAGATTCTACTAAATGTGCTCCACAATATGAGCTAGACAGTTTTGTTACCATGGCAACATACTGGGTTCCAGACCTCCCCAATATCAATGGCTTTTCTGGCCACCTTTGCATTCCATTTTGATATTTGCTTATGGTGCCTCATATGCATGATCCAGCAAGCATATGAATATGTTAGGTCAAGTTCATGGCCTTTTTAAATATGTTTTGAGCTGAAAATTACTAAAATATTGAAATCAAGTGGGTGGGGACTGGAAAAGAGTGAGTTGCCACGGGAACAGAATTTTTTACTGCTGTAGGTGTGCTATCTGTAGAACTATTAGCCTACCAAGTTCCAGTGGTCTGTGCTGGAAATTGACCAAGATAGCTCTATTTATGTACTTGATATAACATTGGGTTGAGTATATGATGTCATCAGTTATCTCATTTGCATATTTTACACATTTTTCAAACTTAAATATCTCTGGAACGAATGCAGATATTTGCAAACAGTAAACGGCGATTTTATTCTTTCGTGCCATTCTATGTGATACACCAAAAAAATCAAGGGGTAAAAATTTGATCATAGTACCACTTTAACAAAAGTACAAACTGTAATTATACAGGGGGTGTCCTCTGTAAGAATAAAAGGGTACAGGGCAACTTGTAATGGGCCAGCTGACATTCCATCCTGGGATAGTAACAGTACATATACCTTAGTATTAAAAACTGAATCATTGGATAATGCAATTCAGGAGTTTTCATTGGCTTAGCCATCATGATATATAATGTATGAGCCGTTATACCATGCTCTACAAAATAATATGACAAGCTTACATATAACTTTTTGGGATGTTTTTTTGAATACTATGTGAATATAGATTATTTATTAGCAAAAATTATAATTATTCACGACACCAACTTGTAACAATCCATGATGCTGGTAACTGATCCAGTACAGCATCCCAGACTATTATGAAAGTCCCACAGATCCTACACGTAGACGCAAACAATGAGCAATACTTTAGTGACTTAAATATCAAAGAACAGAGATCACAGAACTTATTGATTAACTAGGGAATAAGGGGGAACCCCGTTGATACGGTCACCAACGGGCCATGAAAATTTAATCATAATAAAAGGGTGGCCATGTTAATGGGGTAGGGTCAAATGTCACAACTGGTCTTAATTGAGTGACATCTTAACAGATATAACACTTCTAAACAACTGTTCCTTGTAAGCATCTGAAATGTAGATAAAATTTTGAAAAATTGAAACTTGAATCAGTGCATGAAATATTAACAATGGAAAGATGAACATAACTGGTTTGAGTGGCCATATAAACAGGGTAAAATTATAACGGATTATCCAAGTTGGGATTTCAGAATGTGGCTCTAGACCGTATTAACGGGGTGGCTGCATTAACAGGGTTTTCTAATAAGAAAATGTATGGACGTTTCACCAGGACAAGAAAAAGTGGCCGTAATAACGAAGTGACAGTATTAACAAGGTGACCGTAAGGCAAGGTTCCACTGCATTGCCTTTGAAGGCATACATAAAACGGTTCAAGTCAATGAGTCATGTTCTGACCAACAGCTGGTGTTGTTCTTGGTAGTCCCCAGTTCAACTCCTCAATCACGCTTGTAAACAGCCAACTGGTCCGCCTCCAGCCAGTTGGGATTCTCAAACATGTTGTGTTCATTCACATTCATTTGAATTTTTTTCATCATTTGCTTCCATTGGCTCTGCAAAACCCCACTGGGGGAGTGGTCAATTGAGATACTAATATTATTTATTAATAGAATGAAGGGAAGGTACCTAGCATATAGCATATGTAAATTACTTAGGATTTTTTTTGCTACAGTTTCATTCTATTTGTTTACCTTCAGCATAAAATGTTGTTAAATTTGTTTATTATATTTGTCACTCAGATGAAGTACACAGTCTACTGCATAAGCTTACCTTGTGACATGCACTTAAACACTCCTTGTCCTCTATATTCTTGTTGACATTACACACCTGCAAATGTTCACAACAACGTATCTTAAATATACATGCAACTTCAAAATTTATACCTGGATGACTATAATAATAACATCACAATTCATCTTGGTTGCCATAGACAGCACCTTCTCAAGATTCCCTGCTGATTTTTTCCTGACTTTCCCCTGATAAAAAAATGTCCCTGACCAAATAAATGCAAAATGCCAGATATAGTAGCAGCATCTAACCTCCCCTTACAACTGTCCTAATAATTCAAGACCAATCAGTTTCAACAAATGTTCCTTCTTCACTTAATAGAAAACATTGCTGAGATCGCACCCACCCCAAATATTTCTTCCAGTCTTCTTCTTCTGCTTCCCTCCTGACGTTTCTTCAAAATGTCAATTTTCCCCAACTCAAAATAAAACTGCCAGTCTTCTACCTGGCCCTGAAGAATTTTTTTTTTTCTCTGACCATTTCCTGATCAGAATCAACCCCACATATAATGTTATGGTGGAACTAAAGAAATTTGTCCCATTGTCTGTCAGTGATTTCTGAGGTAAAGGCAACGACTGTATTATTGTGCACTAGCTGGAGGAGAAGCGTCATCCAAGAATTAATTGCAACTGAGTTTGGTCACCAAGCTTACTTTGCAACAAGATGTATTCTCACTTAGCCATACAGACAGATTAAAATGCCCTTAGAGAATACTGGTACCTAAACATATTTTCCAGAAAGTCCTAAAGTATCAAATTTTAACCCTGGCAAATTTCAAGATGTTTTCCAGTGTAGCTAAATGATAACAACCCCTACACAATATCATAACATCTTATTATGGATTTCGTACCTGTATATCTGAATCACTGGAATTCTTCAGTAATCCATTGATAAACTTGTCAGCACATGATGATTTCTCTTGCTGGATGCACAGAGAGTTCAGAGCTTCATTCACAAATTGGACATATTTNGAATGTGTGAGAGGTGCAGTGACCTCATGGTTAGAGTAAATGTCTCTGGATCAAACGGTCCGGGTTCGAGCCCTGGCCAGGGACACTGTGTTGTGTTCTTGGGCAAGACACTTTACTCTGACAGTGCCTCTCTCCATTCAGATGTATAAATGGATACTGTCAAACTTAATGCTGGGGTAACCCTACAATGGACTAGCATCCCATCCAGGGGGGAGTAGAAATATCTCCCAGTCACTTCCTGCTACAGAAACCGTGATAAGCTCTGCCCTGATGGGCCACTTGGCTTGTGCCCAGACTTAACCCAACTTACCTTAAGTGATAAATAAACACTTCGTTGTTTCATTTCCCTTGGCCTCAGAATCAAATTAACATTTTAAATAACATTCAATACTGGCTTTTTGACCAGTGGATAACATTTACCTTTATTGTTGATGACTGAATGCACCTGTTGGTGACAAGCTGCGTTGTGTTCCAGCATTGTTGTTTGCATAAGCTTCTCACTGTAGCCTGCACTCTTTTAAACAATCCTTTCAAATCCTCATCTGATTTCACCCCATTATAAAAACAATTATAACTTCCACTGGAGCAGTTTCCCAACAGAGATCTGAGTTTCGAAAGTTCACCTGCAGTTGTAGAAGATACTAACTTTGTTGAAGTTGAATTGCATTCTTCGAAGGACTTTTTCAAATCTGCGCATTTCCCAAAATCCGGCGACACTTTCAAGATGATGCCATCATTTAAACTGATTCCAAAAGGCTTCAAAAAAACGTTGTAGATGAGCAACTCGTTCGGCGAATACAGTGCAAATCCCCATTTGAGAATGCACAGGTAGTAAAATAGACCAATAAAAATAAAGTTCCTCATTGCAAAAGTGCAAGAATCCAATAATTTGTCACTTCCTTTCAACCAAGAGTTAATTACGCCATTTTGTTTCCTTTTCTACGTGTCAATTACTACCAGTCAGCGGTTTTTTTTTTAAATAGTGCCAGTCTCCCAAATTGGCACGGTTAAGATGGTGGACGTACCATCCCCTTTTTCCTCAAATGCACCATACTAAATACTAAAATGGATCATTTTCAAGGCAAGAGAGACTTTCAGGCAAGCGGATTCCACGTTTTTGCAATTTTCCTTCTCTATATTTCAATTAAATATTGACTTTCTTGATTTAAATCGTCTCCCTGGCATGGTTTTATTCCTGGTTAGCAGTGTCCAGTGATCTACTTTACAAGTTTAGTAAGCCGCATTTTTTTAAATCTACTACAGGTTCAAGGAACAAATGATCGCGCTACACTAAGCAAGTCTTCTACTGTGACACAAGGATATTATGAAGACAAATTTCTCCAGTATTTTGTCTCCAAATCTTCTAGAAGGGCACCAATCATTCATAGGTTGATAACACTCAATAATCTAAAATAATTTCATTGTCATATAATTAGAGTATTTTCAGTCAATGCAACTGGTACAGGCTTTCTTCAAATCCATCAGCACCAATGCTGGGTCCCTAAGAGGTACCAAGATTCTGTTTTGTGAGCGTGGTACCAATTCTAAAACAACACATTATCTCCAGTCATATTTTTTTCAGCTCAATATCCTAAAAGGTTCCCAGAAAGCTTCTACTGTGAACCTTTTGAGGATGAACGCCCTAAGAGGCACCAAAACTGCTTTTTTAACCCCCAAAGGATACGACAAGCACCTCCCTCCTTTTTATGTGGGAGTCGTGTCACCCTCTGGGTGCAGTGGATGCCAGGGTGCATATTTGTATGTGCACCACACTGAAGATCTCCAGCATGGTTCTTCAATTCTTCCGGTGTGCTGGCATATGAGTGTGATCCCTGGTGTAACTTGGCACAGACCATCTCACCACTTGGTATATTTTTGCTGAGGGATGTACATGGAATGCAACCTGGGTTACATGTTGTGTCAGATACCCCTCAACATCAGTTTTTTCACTGTTTTTTTTTTTCAGACTTAAGAACACCCAGACATTGAGAAGTAACCTAAGTTAAACCCAAATATGTACGCTGTGAACTTTCCTTTTACAGAAGACCCCCCTGGAATGACCAGGATAGATTTTGTGTATGTACAGCAGACTAAACTTGATTGATTGGGTGGGAGAATCTTTAAAGATAAAGAAAATGGACAAAGCATTATACTCCCCAAATTGTTTAGCATGTTTCCCTGGGAAAAGNCATCAGAAATTTTGAAAAGAACTCCTAAGAGGTACCAAGATTCTGTTTTGTGAGCGTAGCTTAAAATGTTTTTCATCAATTTCTAAAACAGCACATTATCTCCTGTCATATTTTTTTCAGCTCAATATCCTAAAAGGTACCCAGAAAGCTTCTACTGTGAACCTTTTGAGGATGAACGCCCTAAGAGGCACCAAAACTGCTTTTTTAATCCCTAAAGGATACGACAAGCACCTACGTCCTTTTTATGTGGGAGTCGCGTCACCCTCTGGGTGCAGTGGATGCCAGGCTGCATATTTGTATGTGCACCACACTGAAGATCTCCAGCATGGTTATTCAATTCTTCCGGTGTGCTGGCATACGAGTGTGATCCCTGGTGTAGCTTGGCACAGACCATCTAACCACTTGGTATATTTTTGGCAAGGGATGTTCATGGAATGCAACCTGGGCTACATGTTGTGTAAGATACCTCTCAACGTCAGTTTTTTCACTGTTTTTTTTTCAGACTTCAGAACACCCAGATATTGAGAAGTAACGTGAGTTAAACCCAAATATGTACGCTGTGAACTTTCCTTTTACAGAAGACCCCCCTGTAATGACCAGGATAGATTTTGTGTGTGTACAGCAGACTTACCTTGATTGATTGTTATCAAGGGTGGGAGAATCTTTAAAGATAAAGAAAATGGACAAAGCATTATACTCCCCAAATTGTTTAGCATGTTTNAGAGTTTCAATTTCTGAATAATACATATATGTTATTTGCCGGCCAGAGGTCGGTATTAGGAAAAACTGTAGGCGAGGTCTTGAGTACGGTCCGAGACCTGCGGCCGAGGGCCGTACTCAAGACCGAGGGCACAGTTTTTCCCAATACGAACCGACCAAGACCGGAAAATAACGTGTCAATTTTTTTCCTACGGCATTGCATTGAAAGCAACTTTTGGGTTGAATTTTAATTAAAGCCGTTCAGTTCAAATCTGGCGCACGCGTGCGTGTTTGACATTTCGGGCACAGAAAACGATACTGTTTGCATAATTGTTTGACTCTGTGTTGAATGTTTACATTTTACGTTGTTTTGCGGTAGAACAAAAAGCTTGAAAAGTTGCCAAAGTTAGAGATAATTTAAAACGGTCCGCACTCGGGGTCCGGATGGGAAACTCCGGACCTCTTGAGCGCGTGCGATTAGCCAATCAGATTCAAGGATTTAGCCCGGGATTCCGGACGGCTGAGAAGCTAAAGAAAAAAAATTAACTTACAATACTCCTGTATAAAAATTGGATAGCTGACTCAATCCAGTTGAACGATCCAGGAGGTATGTTTTTAATCAAGCTACATCCCCTCTTGGATCGACACTCGCAGCCCGCATTGTTTCTGGACCGCAGCTCAAATATTAATATGATTTAGTTTGCACAAAATGTGTCCTGAAACAGAGTGATATTTTTGATTGGCAGGATGAACCATTTTAAGCATCCAGTTGGGGCTCCTTTGCATGCCACAGAAGCTTTTCCAACTCGACAAAGTCAAATCCAACGTTTTATGAAAGAGGTAAGTTAGAAAGAATTGATTACTTCAATTCTGGTAATTCATTCACAGACCTATGGTCTCCATTGTGTTATATAGCTTTTTCGGTTCACTTTGTTGACTCTTACCCTCGAAGATATATATTTTGATCAAAGCAAAACTTATTATAATGGGATTCAGCCTTATTGTCTCTCGGTGTAAAAGTCGTGACGTTTGTTTAGTTTTTTGTTTTGTTTATGTTTTTGTTTTGCTTTGTTTGTTTTTTTCCTAAAGACATTTTATTTACAAACTTTTCCTGAACTCCATAGGGCTGGCCTTTAGTCCATTGTCCCACATTGAACTTCTTCTACTATGATACATTACCGGAGAAAGAAAAAGCTCGACTGCAAGATCTGGAGCCTTTTGACGAGTTTGAGGTGATGATTAAAATGCTCAGATGTATTATTCTTACGTTTTCCAGTGTCAACTGCTGGCTTTTTGCGGATTTGCTTGCGGCTGGTTCGACTTAAGCTACTGACGACAAAAATAACTAATACCAAGGAAATTCGCTCTAAGGATTCGATTCAAGAAAATACAGTGGTTTGATTTCCAGCCTCTCTGTCGGAAATGAGACTTCACATGGCATCTATCGTAATCTTACAACCACTGTAGCATTTTCGTCTCTTCTTTTTCTCAGGAATGGCACCTCATGTGCTCACATTACATCGTCCTCTCAGCTTTCAAAGGATCCTGTCAGGATATCAAAGAAGAGCTGTTTTTCCAACACAGTGGTAAATATTTTTACTTACCACTATACTCGGCTAATGTAACTCGCCGTTTAAGATGTTTGAATGATTTTGATGGACAAAGTAACATGAAAAGTCCAAGTAGAGCAAAATCAGCTAAACACGCTAACACAGACCTTTATGGTCGATATGTAAACCACGTTTGACTTCCGACAATATCTTACATCAATTATGTCATAACGTTTCGATCTTTTTGTTCTTCCAATGATAGCACTGTTTGACGAGTCGGCAATTCTTGAAGAGAACCCGTGCTCTCTTCATACTGTAGATGTTTTACCTTCGCGGGATGGACTTAAAAGGTATATACACTGTTACTGTTCTCGGTGCTCGTTTTCTTGAATCAAACAATAATTAAAAGCGTGTTGTTCATTTCACCGTACCCAAATTCGCAAATAGCCAATCAAAAGCCGTGTCTACTGTCCTGATATCCCGCGATGTCAAGTCACTGAGCTGATATGGCTACGATATCAAGCTTACTTGGCCGAATTTGGGTACGGTATACGTAAATACGTAATCGTGCCTTTTTGGTACGTTTCGGCGGCAGATCAGGCTCGCTATGTCTCACCATGGGTATTTTGGCGCGTCTACGTCTCGCGAAAATACGAACCATGGCTCGACCAAACTCGCCTGATATGATGTTACTATTAGGTATAATAATTGACCGTAATCCATGCAGAACAAAAATGCAACTTTTCCACCTTAAATCAGCTGAGTTGCCTCTCCTCTTCATAACCAGGTTTGGTCACACAGCCACTCCATTGTCTGATAGTGTAGTTCTTCTCACTGGGGGATTTGGCCTTGATAATGGAAAACATATGCGACTCAATGGCGTTCAGTTACTGCGGATTGTTCAAGGTAACTTTTTAACAATCCTTTCCTCTTTTTTACGGTAACGAAATTATTGTATCTCTTGAATTTGCTTATTTGTTGATTTGACTAATCATATGTTGAGCTTCAGTCTAGACCAGCACTTTAAAAAGGCTGCCATACTGAACTGCTTTGAACACCCAATGTAGCCATAGTTATGAAGCCCGGTAAACATCAAAGAAACAAACAAAAAGGCTAACACCTATGCTGGAAGGTCCATGACCCTGCACATCTTTAGTTTGATGTTCATTGACTATACATGAATTACGTAATATTGCAATGCTTCTATTGGTCAGTTGTATGAGCACACATAACCACACTTTGCCAGGTTTTTTTCGCAGCGTCAACCCCCAAAGTAACCAACAAAAACATAGAACAAAAAACATTTCCAGGTTTCATAGCCATTCCTTCTATTAACTATGATGTACCCAAGTGTTATTTTTTTTAATCAGGTGTTTGGCATTGTACAGACGTGGCTTCAGACTCGGAGATTATACTTGGTAAGAAAGTCAAGACATTGTTATAGTCGAACTCAGCTAAATATAAACAAGGCAAAGATGGATGGAAATATGTTACAATAAAGTTTGAAACGCGTTTATTCTGTTGAGAAATATGATAGCGCAATATTCGTTCTGGTGGTGGTGTATTTTGGAATGAAATGACATCAAGAACAACGTTGCAGTGATAGTCTAAACAGTCAGATTGTCTAAGTAACATATCAAACACGTAAAGACCGTGTTTGACCACATTTCCTAACACCGAGAAGAGAGTTGAAAATACGACGCGTAGCGAAGTATTTTTGACGAACCTCGAGGTGTTTGGAAATGTGGTCAAACACTGTCTTGAGTGGTTGATATATCTTCTCAATCGAAACGAAAACTAATGAGAAAACGGAGAAATAAAATCGTAATTATCTATGCTAATTAAGATCAGATATCCAAACAACGTCGCGGTAATGATTACCTTTGTTTAAACTTGATAAATAGTGTAATGATTTGCTATAAATCGAAAGAACAGGTGGAAAGCTTTGAGAAATTTAGCCTTGAAAGCGTTACTGAGGGATGATATTTTACCATTAGTGAGAAAATTATGACTACTAATAGAATTTAAACTGTCTTATTTCAGGTGGCCGAATCTTCCACAGTGCAACAAAATTAAACGACAATAATATTTTAATACATGGTGGTCGGACATCCCCGGCAAAACCTTGTGCAGAAACACTTTTGTTATCGCTGAAGGACAAGGATGAATCACAATCTTCCGATTCTTCAAACGTTCATGTTAACTGCCGCTCCGAGAGTGAACGTAAAAGCTGTGAAGAAGTTCAGGACTCTTGTGAAGGGAAAATGAGATACAAGCATACGATTTTAAGTTGTCAAGGAGATATCCCACAACCAAGATGGCGACACAGTGCAACACGTATTGTTCTACCTGATGGTATGTCAAACTGTTTTGTATTTTAATTCCTCATTGTGTGTTGAATATCAACGCACTATACTTAAACAAACGCATTTGAATAACCTCCATCTATGGTTTGATGCGTGTCTTAGTCTATTACTGTTCGTCCCCAATTTCTTAATCCAGGAAGATTGAAAAGTTTTGTTTTCTGTCGAACCAACGTTGACAAGGTGTGCTTCCAGATTTTGGGTGAAAATCGTGTTTTTGTTGTTGTTGTTGTTGTTGTTGTT